GCCACAGCCCGAGCTCGGCTGTTCCCGAACCGGACCGGAGCTCCCCGGGCTCCGCGACCTGCCCCTCGGTCCGCTGCTCACCGTCCAGGCCAGGTCCAGGTGGAAGTCTCGGGCGCGCAGGAACCGCACCAGGAAGGCATCGGAGAGCGGCTGCGGCCAGCGCTGGCCGGGCTCTGCCTCCGCCCGCTGCCGCAGCTCGGACACGGCCCCGCGCACCCACGGAGAGTGGTCGGGCAGGTCATTGAGCTGCCCCGCGCCCGGCGGAGCCTGCGACATCGCCGCGGCACGGCCGAGCTCAGCCCCGCCGCCTCCCGCTCCCATTGAGAGCCGCGGCACGGCGGGCCCGGCCGCGCTGCCCCCGCCCCCGGCGGGCTTAACCCCTGAGCGCCCTCCGCCCCCGCAGGGCAGCGGGCAGGTGAGCTCCGTCCTTGGCCCTGCCTCTCTCGGGGTTGTTTCCTCCGCTTTTAGAGACTTGACTGGTTTTTAGAATTTTACGCTTAAGCTCACCTCTTGATTTTCTCTCCCAGCCCCAAAAGTGAGCTGTACCTGCTCTCTGGAGGGCGAGGGGCAGCATCTCCGGACAGGGAGACCCCCGACGCTGGTCATCCCGGCTCATCCCGGACCCCTGGGGCGTGCTCAGACCTCCCCTTCTGGCGAAAATAATCAATCTTTACATACTAAATCGCATAAAGCTGCAACTTCATTGCAGCTGGGAAAGGAAGTGCGAAGTGGGGATCACTGCTGGTGCAAAATTGCCTTGGAGCAGCTCATCCTTAACATGGATATGCAGTAATGAAAATATATTCACTCTGCCAGGAGAAAGGTGGTGAAATTGAATTCTGCCTTAGTCAGTCCAACTTTGCTGCCCAGCAGTGAGTTCGATTATGAAAGGTAAAGAGTTCATTGCTGTAATTAGTATTTTTAGTATAATCTTTTCCTCGTATTAGGTTTCCTTTGAGATTTCTCTGGCCTACTTAGGCTAAAAGCCTTATTTCATTTAACATACAATTAATAAGGAATTACTTTTGCCGAGTAAAAAGGTTTACAAAACTTTGTTCCAGATTACTTTCCCCTTTTCTGGCTTTCTACAGTTAATACTTACTTCTTGATCA